TTTTTTGAAATTTAGAAAAATTTAACTTATATTTCAAATCTGAGAATATATTTCAACCATATATACTTTTTTTCTCACAAAAAAACTGATATTATTATCTATTTAATCGAAAATTTTAACTTTCCTTTGTGATAATACTTAACATTTCGTATTGAATTAATTTGAAAAATTAAATGATAACAAAAAATTTTAAATAGGCCTTTAATAGAGCAGTTCCTAATTGGACTAATACTTATGGCTAATAAATTTCATTTTATTTTTATTTACTTATTATTTTCTTCCTTTTTTTTTGTTATTGTTTTTGTTATTTTTTGTTTGTTTTTCTCCTCTCTTGTTTACATATTTATTTTTCATTTTGCTTGCTTCCTTTTTTTTGTGCAGATGTAATGGTCATATGCGGTGTAGCATTCCGGTAAACAACGGACAACTTGGTGATCCATGTCCGGATACGGAAAAATATCTGGATGTGGAATTCAAATGCAGCAAAAAGCCAGATATTGGTAACAATAGTAATATGATATTTAAAAGTATTTAAAAATTTGAAATTTCAGCCAGTTTTTTTTTCCACCTTTTTCTTCAAATATGGAAATATTATATGCAAATTTAGCTTATTGTTGTATGTAGTGATTGAAAAACAAGAAATTAAATCTTAGCATGAAATTTGATTTGGAAAAATGCTAAGAAAAAAAGGTGGCGGAAAACGATTAAAGGCAAGCATGAAAACAGCATATTTCATACAATAAATATGACAGTTTTTTTTCTTATAAATTTATCATTTCTCAAAATTAAATTTTAATTTATTAAAGAGATTGTTTCAAGTTCCTCAAATATATCTGTATTTGTACATATATAATTGCGTTGAAAATGAACAATCAAAAATTTAAATTTGACTTTGAAAAAAAAAAAAGAGTAATTTGAAAAAGAAAAGACTTCCATGTCATATTTATAACACACACACACACACACTTTTGATTTCATGTTCGTCTGTTTCATTCTTTTGTTTTGCACATCCTTAACAATTAATGTAATTTGCACTTAAATGATTTTTATTCACAATTGGTCAAATTTTTATTCAAATTTTTGCTTAAATGATAAAAATCATTTTCAAATTATGTGTAAAAAAATGATGAAAATTTTGCAGTAAAGGCAACAATAAGTACATCAACGGCAACAACATTCAATACAATAGCAGCTACTAATCAAACATTATCGATAATTGATTTAATGGAATCATCGATAGGAATCGAATTTACGTAAGTAATGAAAATAATTGAAGTTTTAATTTTAAGGAAAACTTTGGTAGGAGGAAATTCAAATGGTTTGGAATTTAATGTTAAATGAATTTTAATTTTATTGAATTAATTCAAATTTAAAGGACGATAAAATTGTCAGACAATGATGGCAAACAATTATTTTGTGATGCGATAACGGAACGTGACATTGATTGGGCACAAACAGAATTTGGCATGATAGCACGTGTTCCATGTCCAATTGGATCAACAGGTTATGCGGAATGGATGTGTGGATCGGATGGACATTGGCAATCAGATGGACCGGATTTATCACGTTGTATTAGTACATGGAGTAAAGGGTGTGAAAATTTTAAATGTCTGAAATATTCATCTAGCAAAAATTTAAACTGTACTAAAGAATAGTGATATTTATTTATTTCTCAAAATTAGTTTACCCAGTCATATTCAAATACTTTCATTATGAACTATTTTATTAATCTGTAAATTTGATTAAAAATTTAAGATTACTTTTGGATGCGGAAGAAGTTGATAATCCAGTATATCGATTGGAATTTCTACATGAAATTCAACAACGAACACGGCGTGAATCATTAATTGGTGGTGATCTAATCGCCCTTTCACGTGCTCTAAAATTATTAATTCCAATTACAATATATGAGAGTGATGCGGATAAATTTGTTGAAGTATTAACTTTTTATGAAATTTTCTAATTTTTATTCAATAAATTTCTATTGAAAAATGATTAAATATAGCAATATTGATTGTAGCAAAGTTTCGTAAATTTTTAAGTTCTAATTTTCTAACACTAATTTTTTTTCAAAAATTGTTAGTGAAATGTTAATTTACAGTTGGTTGTGGAAAGTGTCAATAATATTGCAAAAGAATCTCAAATATTAGCATGGAATGATTTGAAAGGTGTCAAACGACGTGTGGTAGCTGATCAATTGATGAGTGTTGTTGATCAAGTATCTATGACGATCAGTGCATTAATCACTCCCGATACACCACGGATTATCATGAAACCCAATGCTGGTATGATATCACTTTTGCGCATCTTCGATATTTAAAACTTAAAAATTTTTTTTATAAATAAAATTTTAAACGAAACAATTGATAATGCATATTTGGTTGAGGGTAAAATTGATAACAAAGTGAGAATATATTTTAGATTTGGATCGCGTCAGATTTCTTTGTCTGTGGCAGGTTAAAAAGTTTCGAGAGATTAGTTAAATGATTTCAAAATGTTGAATTAATTATCTTCAAAAAATTATCTTTCCTCGCTCCTGCAATAAACTTAAAAACTTTTTTTTTTGACTTTTAGCTTTTGATGATTGAAATAATCTCAAATTTCTTGTCAATCATCATATTATTATAATTGTGGTTATACTGAATATCATAATTACAATTTATATTATGTTGTAATTATTATAATGTATTGCTGTTTTCATGATTAAAAATGATGATCTTGATTTCAATTCCTATTACAATTATATTGTTTAAAGAAGCGAAATATGGATGAAATCTTCAAGAATTGTTACTTTCAGATGTTGAACTTGAAATATCAGCTGTTCGGGTGCATGATTATGTTGCTTTTCCAAGTACCAGTTTGTATCGGACAACCGACGATACGATTAATATTCCACAAGAGGCCTTGACCTTGCGCAATAATGCTATCGGTTGTTAACAATTATAGCTTTCCAGTTCTTATATTAATTACTGATTACATCAATTACTGATTGCTAGAATAATTACAATGAAAATCATCCATCTATGTCATATTGAAATTTGAATGAATTTAAATGCGAATACTTTCATAAATCATAGATTTTGATCCATTTATTTTGATCTATATTGATCCATTTATTCATGCAATTTCATATTAATTGAAAAGATTTAAATGAATTAAAATTGCGAATACTTTCATAAATCACAGATTTTTTGGTCAATTCAAAGTTATTTCAAATTTGTTTTAAGTAATTTCATAACGTTAAAAAGCAAATTTTAGATGAAGCTAAAATCCTTTATGTGGCATATTCATCAATTGGCAAATATCTACAACCTGAACCACGTCAAACTGCGGATGGTACCATGGTACCACGACAAATTGCATCAAAAATAGTTTCATTATCAATAATAAATAGCGATAACAAAATTGAAACGATTGATCATCTTCGTAAACCAGTCATTATTACATTTTCAATAGAGGTATTAGCAATCTTTATGAAATCGCAATTTCAGATCAAATAGTTTTTTTTTTTAAGTAATTAATCAGCTAGAGAAAAGGAAAATAATTAAGAGAATTGATGGAAGTAAATAATTGATTTCTAATAATAAGTAAGCAAAAAGATGAAATTAATTTCTGCAGTTAAAATTTAAACTGAAATAAAGTTTTCAACCACAATTAACAGTTTTGTATAAATGCTCATTTATTAATTACTGTCTATTACGTGATAACTAACAGTGATTAATAAACGAAGAAAAGAGAAGTATTGAATGATATCATCTTATCTCAGCAACTTCTTTTATTTCAGATTTGATACCATTGACGTGTGACTTGTATTTTCAAAAGATCCACTAAATCAGACAGAAAAAGAAAAATTTAATTTAATTGCAAAATAATGCAAATGAGACATATTTACTTTTAATGACAAAATAACTAAAGAAAACTGATAATAAATCATCATTGAATAATTATAAGAAATAACTTCTACGATACGTAAAAAAAAATTGGTAATTAATCATAATTAAATAGCTGCAAGAAGTGATTTTGCTATAGTGAATGATAAAAATTAATGGTTAATCAATTATGATCAATTATCCATTTTGTTTACCTATCATAGGATTTATTTCTTACAAAATTGATAAACAAAATTGATAATTAAATAATTACAGGAAATAATTCATACGAAAAATAAAGAAAATTAACATAATATATAATCATAATTAAAAGAACTGTCAGGAAAATAATACATACGCTTAAATTTATATACGTATATCATATTAGGACCGAGTAAACCTTTCTATGCCACAATGCGTTTGGTGGAATCGTACACGTTTGCAGTGGTCATCATATGGTTGTACGGTCAGTTTACATAATGCAACCCATACCATTTGTCATTGCAATCATTTGACTTATTTTGCTGTCCTCATGGATGTCCATTATCAAGAGGTAAGTGAAAACTATTATTTAGTCTATAAAATTATCCTACCATAATTTCAAAAAATTTTACATTGTAATCAACAGAAGACAGTATTAATACAACGAGGATTGATTGATTGATTTAACAATTCAGTGCATTTAACTTTAAACTTATACATGTATTGGTTGTTTACGTATTTCAGTTGTTGAATTTCACACTATTAACATGGAGTGAGAAAAAAAAAATGAGCCCGAGAACTGTTATTATTCATATCTGAGAGAAGAGAAAAAAATATGCCTGAGAAATATTCCAAAACTTGACAGAGAAAGAGAAGCAATTTGTAATTTTGTTTGAATGAGCAATGCTAATCATATGCAAGTTGAAATATTTCTTTCTCCGCTCAAAATTTACTATTATTAGTTGAGTAGTAGATTGAATTTTAAATTTTTTCTAATTTACATGTGCTAAATCTGAATTTAAAAATTTTGAAAATTTATTTGATAATTTTAGCTTCCCATTGGACATAATATAGCATTAACATTTCTAACTTATGCCGGTTGCACTATATCAATAATATGCCTTTTGCTATCGCTCTTTGTATTTCAATGCTTTGGTACCAGTGGTGGTGATCGAATTTTTATCCATAAAAATCTCTGCTTCTCATTGCTAATAGCTGAAGCGCTCTTTCTTGGCGGTATTTGGCAAACACACAATTCAGTACGAATTTTTCAATATTTTATTTTATATTATACAAATCATTTTTTTTTCTGAATTTATGTCATATCTATCATTCAATTATTCAAATCTATCATATTAGTAATTTTTGTTTATAATTTTTATAGAGGAACCAGTTTAATATGTCTATCATACATCTTCAATTACCCTAAGATAATTTCATAATCTTGCAGAAAAATCAATTCAAACATATCCATCATATAAATTAATTGAATAATTAATGAAATAAATGCTTTACAGCATTTTTATTCAATTACAATCATAGTTTTAAAACTCTGACTTGGCCATATTTTGCATTTTTGATATTCATATTTGTTATCTTGAAAAAGATTTACAATATAATTAATTAAAATTAAAAACTACAATCAAACTTAATGCAAACTTTGTTTGAAAATTTTAGCTTTGCTGCAGTATCGTAGCATGTATGTTACACTATTTCTTTCTTGCTGCATTTTCCTGGATGTTATTAGAAGGTTTCGAACTTTATTATATGCTAATCGAGGTTTTCCAATCGAAAGATTCCAAAAGATCATATATGTTATTGTTTGGTTATGGTAAATTTTTACATTCATTTAATTGAATTTTCAAACTTTCGTTTTTTTCAGAAAAAAATCTAATATGATTATAAAATTTAATATTTTCCAAGATTGACAATTTTCATATGTAGAAATTTATTATTATACTTCTTGCTATTATTACTCATCCTATTCCTATTATTCTTTTTATTATTAATCATTTTTAAACGATCGAATTTATTCAGTCTTCAATTTATTCATTCGTATAAAATAATAAATATCACTTTAACAATAATTTCAACATTTCATTAATTCAGGATTCCCATTATCAGTTGTTGCTATATCGATATGGTTTGATCGATTTAGCTACGGTACCGAACGATACTGTTGGCTACGATCTGATAATTACTTCATTCTAGCATTTATTGGACCGGTAGTTATCATTCTACTCTGTAATACAGTCTTCCTCGTGATGACATTATTTATTGTTTGTAGTCATTCCAGTATCGGTTATACACCATGTAAACAGGATCGTAATGCATTGAGAAATGTTCGGTATGAATTTTGTTTTTTGTTTTTTTTTTCAAGAATCAATAAATTATTATATTTTACAGGTTATCATATCAAAAATTTACTCTTTGCATCTTACCTAGCACTCTTAGCTAACCTCAAAGAATTGCGTATATTGGAGGAAGTTATTTAACAATTTCATATAATTGGAATTTAATTGCATTTTCTTTTTTCTACTAAAAATTTACCTATAAAAATTGCTGTGCTACAAAATGATTTAATTTGAAATTCTTATCTTTTATTAAATGAATTAAAAAATGCTTTGGAAGATTTGTTTAGTTCTACGAGGTTTCAGAAAGTGGCTAAAAGGATCGATAGCATTAGTTACCATATTAGGTCTCAACTGGATTTTTGGCTTTTTATGGGTCGATGAGCAATCAATTGTTATGGCCTATGCATTTACCATTATGAATTCTCTTCAAGGATTGTTTATATTTCTGTTTCATGTTATTTTCAATGATCGAGTTCGTCATTTTTCCACCTTTTTTTGCTTCATTTTGTTACAGTAATCAGATTTGGTACTGTTGCAGTATCATTAAAGTAATCTATCAATTTATAAATTTTAACTTCCAAACTTCAAGCCAAGAATTTATGCAATTCTTATCAGTTAGTTTCGATACTTATTGAACGTGTACAATTTATTAATTTTGCATGAACATTAACAATAATGCTTATAAGTCTTTTTTTTTAGTTGCATAAAGATTACCGGAAATGGATGAAACATGTATCCTGGGTACCGAATTGCATGCGTGATGATTCAAGTCATACGTCACGTACGATGCCATATTTATCGACAAACACGAGCAAAACCGGTCAAGCAGTTAGTTCAAGTTCATCAACAGCTTCTGAACTATTGGTAAGTATATAAAATTGCTTACTTAATTTCATTCATGTCATATAGATAGATGTGCTAACTTATAAATATTCCTTTGACGTTTGAACATCACGAAATATTCCCTTAATCTTACGCCTCTTACGTCCACAATAGCATTTTTACGGAGAAAAATAAGTGAAAATATGAATGCGAACAAAAGTGTTGGCGGGAGACAATAATCATCGTTATCAGTGTTGTACCAACTTTTTTTTCAACGCTTCGCTATGAATATTTAATTATCACTTAATTGGCTAGTAAAACGCTTAAATGTGAACATTTAATAAATGTCACTAAATTGGCTTTCTGAGTTCACGTAAAAAGCAATGACACATACATTAATGTACAATAATTGCTTAATTAAAATTCTCATTATCTGACAATTATATTTATAGTTTTTTTACAGTCATTTTTTTCCTATTTGCTGCAATCCAAAAAAAGCAAAAATGCTTCCAATATTCACAAATATAATGTCATCATCATTTATTAAATTATTATTAATTTTTCCATTGGAAAATACAAAAATTAAACAATTTTCATTATGCAGCATATGAATTTGAAAGGAATATTTTAAACAATTTTTTTTTTCTAAATTTTATTTTATATCTTTTTTATTTTCTTCAAACTATACTTACTTCCTGTTGTTGAACTAATTAACAGTAATGCATTAAACTTTATATCTCATTTATCTGTCTTGTCTTTTTGTAATCACACTGCACGGCCATTTTATCAGTTTGTTAATCGCTACACAATAACACATCCATAGCACTTTTAATCGATCACTTCATCATTTTATCATTTAATTTGAAGAGATTTACCAAATCTTTTGGTGGCAAAAGCGATGAGTATTCACCATTATTGGCTAGTCAACGGACTGGTTTAATTCATGAACAAATCCATGTAAGGCAAGGTTCGTCAATGCTTTATCAATAGCTTTAGCATCTATCAATCCTCATTCATCCTTCTTCTTTTTTCCCTTTTTTCTCCTTTCATGTTGGTTTCATTGTTATTTCAAATAATTTTAACTTAGATAATTAAAAAAAACAAACAAACTTAAGCAAACAAAAAAAAAAAACAAAGCGAAGATAATGACGAAGGATTGGAATGCAAATTTGAAATTATTTTTTTTCTTCACCACAAAAAGTGTTTATACTTCATAAAATGTTTGCAGAGATAATACAATTAATTTATGTTATCTGTCGTACCATTTGAAATATATTCATCGCATTAATTTGTTATCGTAGCAGCACACGTTTCATGAAAAAGTGCACACACATACACACATGCATACACACATGACACACACATATGCAAGTAAACAGACATACATATTTATTACTACATGATTGATAAAATTAATTCAAATATACAAGGATTTAATCACTATAAACATAACGACATGAATCAATTACTACAATTAAACTAATACTATTGTATTTAAATTAAGGCTGTTAATGTTGAAGAAAGTTAATAGTGATATGCCCTGAGCGATGATAAATATACATTGATAAGATCAAAATGAACAAATGACATGATGCTATTTGTTATCAATTATATTTCTTTTGAATTCTAACAGTTTTCTTCTAATCATATCTCATAATATTATTCCCATATTTTCGTTAACTCTTCAATTCTTTCATTTTTTTTTTTTTTGTTTATATAAATATTCACACATAAAATTTCTCAATTTACAATCTAAGATTATAATTTGATGAAAAAGTTGCCTTTTTAAAATGAATTCAAAAACTGTATTTTATTTTTGATGAAATTTTCAAACTTTAGAAATATACAAAAGAATATCCACCGTCACGTGAATTAATATTCTTCAATTGCGCTACCGATATTATGTTATAAATATGTAAATTTTTTTAGTTATGCTTTTTTTTAAAGACCAAATACTTAATGGCTTTTCATATTGGGCTTCCTGATTACTAACCGTTTTTTTTTCTTTTTTTATCACTCATTTAATGCAAATACATTGCATTACGATTTTTTATTCGATGATAGATCAGGAATATCATTCATGCGCCAGTAAACAGGAGACTATCAAATAACACTATCATAGCTTTCATCTGCAGCTTAATATAATAAAACTCTCGCGGGGATAATTTGTAGAGTGAATGAATTAAAAAAAAACACAAACTATGAATTATTACACCGTTCAAAATGATGTATTCATACAATCCCTGCATTGTTGCAAATAACTTCATTGCTTTCAAAATTCTCATTTTACAGTATATTACATTTAGTGTCGTCCAATGAATTCAATGAATGAGTATGTTCTTTATATTTCTTGAAATAAGATTTTAGTTCATCTATTTCATTTAATCGAATTTTTAAATTTAAATTGCACAGAATTTTCAAATAATTCTCAAATAATAGAAACTGTTTTCAAATAATAAAAATTTTTCAAACAATAAATTTTCAAAAATTTTCAAATAATAAAAATTGTCTGAGACTACTGCAAAAAAATAAAATTCGTGAAATAGCACAAACATTCCAATATGCTTCTATTTTCCTTTTTGAAATAGATAAATGTTTGATTTAAATGAAGCAATAGAGTACCGAATTGTTCATTATAATTAATTAAAAATTTTTCTAAAAAGCCGCTACATTAATTTTTTGTTTCCTTGCATGGCTTGGAAATTTTCTTTTTTTTTTTTTAATTTTTGCATATTATAGTTTTGCCTTTATTTAAAACATTGCTTTTTACAAAACAAAAAAAAGTTGTCTAAAAATTGATAAGAATATTATAATTTATTGAAGTTTAAATTCACCGAAATGATCGTATAAAGTTAGAAAATATAATTTATTTCTTCAATTTGCATGTTTGCGCCACTTTCTTTTCATTATGATACTTTTTTTTTTCTTTTTAATTTCTATATTTTAAATTCATTTGCTCAAATTTTTACAGTATCCTTCAATGAGCGAAAAATATCCAGCATTACCAGCACCACGTATGGTCGCTGCAATTGATCCCCGTTACAATAATTCGGTACAAATGCTTCTGGCACGACAGTGTTGTAATTCAAATGGTTAATTTTATTTGTTATACTTTATTGATACTGTCCATCAAGGAAATGTTAAAATATTTGCGTATTTTCCATTCTTTCGCAATTTATGTTTACAAATACATATCTAATAAATAAGTAACAAATAAATCAATATTACTATACCAAAGAATTGATATGCATATGAGCTAATGATTTTAATTGAAATGATCATATTTCATGCAATTTGAATAAATAGCCTGAGCATGATAATGCTTTGATGGTAGATTTTGTTGTTTTTAACGGAAAGAATTGTTTTTAGTGAAAAAAAAAAGAATTAGCATGAATTTTAATTATTAATATCGTAACATCAAAGAATGATTCAAATTTTGAACTGAATAATTCGAAAGCATGATTCACCCAGTGATACATAATGTTTAAACAATATTCTATATCTCTGATTATTGATAATTATGTTCTTTTTCAGGATTATGTGATTATGCAACGATTAGCTACGACGATCTCTGTACCTCATCATCCAATTACTATCATCAACCACAACAAAATCAATATTATTTAAATTGTATGACACCTGTAACATTTGTACCAAATGCTAATCTTTCCTCCACCACTACCATTCCTCCTGAATTGAGAACACTTCATTTTAGGCCACCGCCTAATTTTCCACCACCGCCACCACCACCACCACCGCCATCACCTCCACCACAACCTTCATCAACTTCACTTCTTCCTAGCACTCATCATTCAACCACACCAATCTCAGCTGCTTCTATTGCTCGGGTATCGGATGATTCGGCGTATAGCGATAGTTCTGCATCAACCTTACAATGTCACGGTGAAGTGATAACAAATCGATCGGGAATGTTGCTACGCATGGATTTATCCAAAAATCCGCCCGTTTTCGTGCAAGGCCTATGAATTCTATAGAGTTGCTTTATAAACGTTGATTCGATAGCAATAATAGCAAATTAAATTGAATTAATTAAAAAGAGATAAATTATGATGGTTGATTTTTTTTTTTGTTTTAATTCAATCATTATGACAATGAAACTTTCATTTAATATGGCATGAAAAACGAAATTTGATTAAAAAAAATGACTGACTATATAATATATAAATAACGATCTGATAAGCAACTCTAATTTATCTTTAATTAGTGACTTTTTATTTTCTTTCTTTTTGTTCGGTACACAATATCGGGTTCGAATATTCTCTTCATTTGTTAAAAATTTGATCAAATATGTGGAAAATTTTTTAATGATACTATCATTTCCAAAGGAATATAATGTGTGCAACGAAAACAAAAATAATTTGAATCATTTTATCTTTAGAAATTTATCTTTTAACTATCTTTTTTTTCGCATTATATTCCCTTTAATGGTTATCATTAAAGATCACTTGAATTGTTAGCAATATGAAATAATCAGAGTTTAGATTAGTTAAAGTGGAAAAAAAATTTATTTCGTTAGTTATAAATTTTCACTGGAATATTACTGATTGATATGATTAGTCCGGTTGTATAGAGCGGGAGGTTATATTGGTGCTAAAAGCAAAATATGACACTATTAAAAAAAGAAAAAAAAAGCACATATACAATATGATAATTTTCAAATTTCAAAATGATAATGATAACAAAATAGGTAATGCACATTTATCTTTAAATCATATCCTTACTGGTATGCATAAATTAGAATATTCTCTTATTTTTTTGGAATACATTAAAATATTTCAATCTTATAGCAAATAAATGAAACATTCGTTCATTTTTAGTGCTATTATCATATACTCTCCTGTCTCTTTTTTATTTTGTGCTTAGTTGAGTTCTTTTCATTTCAAATTCATTATTATCATATTGTATTTTTTTTCTACGATTCATTTACCATACATATATATATGAATTATACAACAATCACAGAGGCTTGAAATTCTAGAACTTTTGAAATTATAAATAATTTTTGCATAACTGTGTAAAAAATGACAATTTTTATAGTAAAATTTGTTTTTATTAATAATATTATAAATTGTCCTATGTTATTTTCAACTTGAAAAAAATAAATTAATTTTAATGCTTTGCTAATAAAGAGAATGAATTTGTCAAAATTATGTGAATTAATTCCTTTTTGTAAAATATCATATTGTACCGCGTTGTATATACGCCAACAATAACATCAATTAATGCTTGCCTTAAGTGATTATTGCGAACTGTGCTGCAATAATATTCGATCGAAAAGTTTAATTAGCAAAAATTTTCGATTTGTTCAGGCTTTATTGTACTTCATTTATCAGCCAATACTATAATGATTTTATCGGTACGCAATTGAGGTGTTGTAAAATTTTAAATATTTCAATCTGTTATTTGATTTATATTTGTTTTGGATTTTCAAAAGTTTTGCTAATTCCATTACCAGAATAATATTGTAAATTTCAAATCACTGATAACACATTATTTTCGACAAAATTTTTATCGTAAATCGGAAATTTGTGCAGTTGATACTACGACGTAAGATTGAAAATGAATTTGCAGAGTGAAAAAGAATTACTACTTATAATTCATTTGATTCGATTAATCGGTTAAGTTTTTTTTGATAATTTAAACTTGCTTTTTTGTGAAATTTGAAAAATTATTGTTTCAAACTATTACATTTTTCAATTATCTGAAAAACCATCGAACATTTTAGCACTAGTATTGCACTAATTTGTTGCGGTACTAACCAGTTCTCGAAAATCATTACACAATACTGCGTCGTCATAATTTTTGTACACTCATCATATAGTAGTTCCTCAACTTTTAGATGAACTGGTCAAGTTGGTCAAGCTAACTTGTTGGACAAGCAAATATTCAGTCTTTCTTTCTAATTACATAGAAATTACAAGATAACAAATTAAGCAAAAAAGTGCTCAATGTAACTTTTGTAGTTTATAGCTTTAAAACAAAGCTTCAAAGATCATATTATGATCTATTTAAAAATACCACTGCATATTTAACTATTCTTAAACAGAAATCGATTTTTTAGATCTCAAAAATTTGAACATCAATTAAAAATTGAGTAAAAGTTATAAATTATCACCGAGTAGTAGTAATAAAGATTTAAAAGAAAGTGAAAAAACTGAAAGAAACAGAGTAAAATACCAGTTCAAAGAAATATATATATTATGATTAATTTGCATGTAACGATAGTAAAAAAAAATCGTCTACAATCCCTCAGAATTATCACTGTAATTTTTCGTACTTTCAAAATTTTCAGAACAGCCTTAATGAATAGGCATGACTACTAATTAGGCAGAAATAAAATTTTCTCTCTTCTGATAGAATGAAATAAATTAATTTATCACTTCCACTGAATGATTTGCTTGTTCACTCACCGAAACTAATTTTTAACGACTGAATTATCGACTGATTGCAAAAAAAAAATATAAATTTATTATTGTAACGATGAAATAACTCCGATAAATGAGTGAATGCGAATAATACTATAAAGAAAAACATTTTGCATTTAAAGTATTTGTTATTTGAAATTGTTGTACATGAAAATGCTTATTAAACATTACTGTGAGTCTTCTTCAAATTCATGTGCAATGATGCCAATATTTGCAAATGGCTACTTTTATTTAAAAAATTTATTGTATATCAAATAAAGCAATTGCACGTGTGTTTCCTAAACATTATAAGTGTACAGATGAGCATGAGAGTTGATAAAATTGTAATAATATATCATCATTCTTGCTGTCACCTTTGTTTTTTATTATTTAGAGAATATTAAAAGAGAATGCATTTCATCTGTTCAAAGATCAAAATATATATTACATTTATTTCATAATTGTCACAAATAATATATATTGAAGTTTCGACTATATCAATCAGTTTCTTATAGTATAGCAATATTTTTGTATTATTTTACACTAATTAATTAAATCATTCTGCAGAATATGAAATCACATTATAAATATCTTCAAGCATTTCGTTATTTGCCGTTTACCAGCGCTTTATTTTTAATTGAACTTCAGCAGTATATGTGTCAGGATGACGTGTATAATAGGCTTGCTGCAAAGCCTGCTATAATAGCCTGAAATAGACCAAAAAGTTCATCTTCTTGAAGTTCACGTACCATTACTCAGCACTTGTTAAAAAAAATAACAATGACTATTTAACAATTCAAATATTTTCTTGTTAAAATATTTTCAATCATATTTCACTACAAATGAGCTTTCCCAAAAAAAAAAAAGGATCAAAAAGGGTCACGTTTCATTATCATTCACACTCGATTTCATCCCGTCAATTGGATGGATAGAAATTTCTCCGATTTAAACTTTTTATTCTATTTGACAAATACTTTTAAAAAATTGATTGCATGAACATCAATTCATATTTTACACATATTAAACGTAGCAGAACACTCTCCTAATAAGTGTCGAAAAACTCGAAATTTTGTGATATAAAATTATTCACACGAATAGAACTTTTGTATAATTGACAGTTAAGCTAAGCAAATTGCTCTCCATAGTCTTTCGTCAATGTTAAATTAAATTTCTTGTCACAGATTTCTTCTTCTGTGTCTCGAATATCATTCAAAGTTATTGCCAACCAATATTTCCCGCCATTGCATGTTCTCTGTCTTTCTTTTTATCTCTGACAATAAATGTGGCTAACGAATAATCAGAGACAATCTCCTCCTTTCCCATCACTTTTTTCTCTATCTCTCTCTTTTTTTTCATCACATCACATTGCCTAACTATGGGATCGTTATCTTTCGTATGTTCCTTTTCCCATCGTTTATCTCTTTTCTCCTCTTATATGATATCACATTGCCTACCACTGCTTTATCCCTGATGTATCTATCTGCATGATTCGTATGACTTATCACTTATTCAATATTGGCTATGTATTAGTTACGTGGGACACTATACAAAACTGGTAGATCAACGAGACTCTCTCCAAACAAAACGTGTACGTGCCATTTCTCTCATGAAAACCACCAACTCCACTGAATCCCTCACAGATCAATCATCAAAAATTGGAATATTCATCAACATTTATTGTCAATATTT